TATATAACCATTTTAAAATTTGATTTTTGTTCAGAGAATAGTCTAAGAAAAAAGAGATAATCAGGCCTGCCATAACCCGCTTTGCGGTTGATTACTTGGCTGTGGACTCCATTTGGGAATCTGAAGGTGCAATAAAGAGATTGTTTTCCAGTGAAGAGTGGTTAAATGACCGCCTCTCAAAGTCCAGTACCGGGTTAAAAGTTGACGGCATAGTCTCAAATAGGAGGTTCTGGTCTCGATGTTCCAGTATTGTAGAGGCCACTGCCCCTTTCGTCACGGTGTTAAGAATAATGGATGCTGATAAGAAAGCTACCATGAGCATCCTTATGAAGGTATCGAGAGAGCCAAATCAGCTATTGGGGAAAAGTGTAGTTTTGCTAGTAAAGTGATCGAGATTATAGAAAGAAGGTGGAACACCAAATTCGGACGTCCAATTCATTATGCAGGTAAATATATATATATATATCATTAGAATGTTTCATTTTAAATTATTTTTTTATGAAATTTTAAATCACATTTCTCTATCTATATATTTTCTAGGTTACTACTTCAACCCAAATTTTTTCTATTTGACACCTGAACATCCCCACAAGATTATGGAAGGGGTCAGATGCATTATTGCCAGGTTGGAGAGAAGTCATCGAAACCAGGTAGCAGCAATACAAGAGGTATTATTTAATATTTGGGTAAGAACTTGATTAAGTTGTTATATTTGTGAGGAATAATGCACTAAAACGAAATATTTTGTTTTAGCTTGCTATGTATAGGGATGCTATAGGATCATTCGGAACTAGACTTGCCAGGAATTCTCGAACTAAGATGGATTCAGGTTATCCCCTAATTAATATTTTGTTCATTCATATATTTAATCTTATGAATTGTTCTTGCCCTTACAATGCTTTTTGCATTTTAATCCAGCTGAATGGTGGGAGATATATGGTAGTGATGCACCTCACCTAAAGAGGATAGCAATCAAGGTGCTCTCCTAGACATGTTCTGCTACTGGTTGTGAGCGAAACTGGAGTATGTTCCAATGGTTGCACATTACTAGGAGGAATCGACTCGTTTCGGAGAAGCTTCATAAACTAGTCTACGTTCATTACAACTTAAACCTCCGAGAGCGACAAATAAGAAGGAAGCTTGAAGACTATGGGCCAATAGACTTGGACACAATATTTGTCACAAACACAGCAGAACAATGGGTAGTAGAAGAAGAGGAGCCAGTGTTGCACAAGAGAGCGTTCCTTGAGGCTATCGGTGAGGAAGATCTTGAAGAAGGTGATGAGCAATATGAAAGAGGAAGCAGCCCGCCAACATATCCACAATTCGTTGGAGATGTCGGTGATATTGCATTTAACGAGGGAGCGTGGGAATGGGGTCTAAGGGAAAATGAGAGAGATGATGATTCTGAGGCCACGCAATCCCGCCGAAATTATTCACATATTGAGTCCCAACAACAAGAGGGTAGGGATGAGCACGATAGTGTAGGTGAGCATGAAGGATTGACAAGCTTCGGGGATTTTGGATTAGGACCACGACAAAACACTAATACTCAGGGATTTGGGTATAGTCAGGTGCCCACTAATTTGGATGATTCGTTTTTACAACGAGTCAATGAATTGTCACGTGAATTCAATCAATTGCATCAGCGTGACCAAGATGAAGAACGACGTCGTCTGTCATTTTATTTTTAGATCGTATGTTACAAATTGTATGCTTTATTGTAGTTTATGTATGATGATATACTTAATCCATGATAATTCTATGTTTATCCTTTTGTGTGATGTAAATTAAATGGTAAATAATAGTTCATGTAGGGAAATAACATATCAATATTCGCATATTCATGCAAAGAAATGAAAATTCTTAATGGAGTATCCGCATTTCTTATTGAATTCTTAAAAAACAACATTTATAATGAATTTAAATAAATTTTTCGGATTTTTTTTAAGTTTTAATCCGACCGATTCAGTCGATTCCCGATCCGGATGGCCGATTCGCCAATCCGGATGGGTTTTTGAGATGCCCGATCGGGGTCACCGATCCGTTTTTTAAACCGCTGGTCAAAACTATACTTCAAATTTTAATTGATGCTGAATAAGCTCTGTGCTTTTTACTCTAGTCTTTTCAGGTTTGAACCATTTGACTTTTTTCTCCGAATGGCTTTGTTGTTGCTAGACTTATCTTGGGGGAGGGTTATCCTGCTACTTTGTAGTGTGTTTTTATGGTGTAGAGATACAATAACTTGGGGTTCCAAAACATGAACTTATCCTCCTATCTTGCATTGTTTCTATGGGAAAATATTCTCTCTAGAAGTAATATAACTTGGGATGCTTGATCACCGAACCCAAATAGTTGGAAAAAGGCTCCTATGATGATGTTGATCACCTAATTAACTTGAGGTGCCCATTTTTAGTTGTCAAGGGCTTCTTGAATTTATGGCCCTTTGATAGAGCAGAATGGCGAACCATGGTTCGCGTAGTCAAACCCCAAGTAGTTGGGAAAAGACTCTAATGATGATGATGATGATGATGATTAAGGCCTTCTTGAATTTTTAACTTGTATTTCTGTTGGTTAAAAGCTTACAAGGTACCTGGGGCTTGCCTACTTCCAATTTCTTGCATGTTGGAGTCTGAAGAATGGAGGGTTATTGCATGCATTTCCCGTTTCTCTCTCTTGGCAGGCTAACTGTAGCCACAAGTGCTTTGTTATAGCACTTGAGAAAGTAACTCCATTGCAGTGATTCATGGAGAAACCAACGTCCATTGGGGGACACATGAAGAGAATGGATCCTGGCCTCTCTCTCTCTCTCTCTCTCTCTCTCTCTCTCTCTACTA